CAAATTGAGGCACGATCTGGCATCGACTGCTCCAGTCGTCTCTCAGTTTCTTCCTTTAAAGATGTTTCCTTCTCTGGTCCCTTTGTAGCTTTTTTGAAACAAGATTAACTTCCTCTGAAAATGTAGCAGCATGACTATCAGCTGTTGCACCAATTTGTGTGGCTCATTTTTCACACCGTTATGTTGTCCGCTGTCCTGCTTTTGTACAGGAAGAAGCAAATGCCTTCATTTATCTCTTACATTTCTTCTATTTATCTTTCTAACAACAACTTATTTTCTCATAAGCTAAATGGCTGCTTCTCTGGAGGTGAACGTGTTAAATGAAGAGGTAGTTCCCAATGCATGAAACAGACATCCAGCTAAATGTGAAAATAGGACCGTGAGCCTTTTAAGTAGTCATGTGTGAGACTGCAAATTTCTGATACCAAGCAAATACTGGGTTAATATTGCAGATACTGATACAAATACTTTTAACATAGAAAGGTATTTATTTATAAACTGCTGTTTTTCTCCTTTTTTATAATGCATGTTTGAGGTATATTTTTCCATAAAAAACAGATAAATAATTTATTTAACACAATTCAGTGGGCTACACACCAAACTTAAAGGAAGGAAACAAACTATCGAACGTATCGCACTAGTATCGATCCAATACCGATACTAGCAATGACATCAATACTAGCCCTGTTTGGATCCATCGATCACCTTTAATTTTGAAAAGTGCCGAGCATAACTGAACAGTAAGGTTAGAAGATATTTTTCCAGTCTGTGACTTACTTCTTTGCACTTGCTCAGTTGCTCATCTCTCAGAACCTCCATGGTTCAAAACACACCTGCTATTATTGCTGTCATTAACATTAGCCCACTAGAAAACATAGTTGTAAAAGTACTTACCGGCCGGACTCAAGAGTAGCGCCCAAATAAAAGCCGTCCCGGCGGAGAACAGGTGGTTGGATCCCATTTCGTCCTCTTGACAGCAAAGAAAACTTCACAAGAAAGCACGGAGCAGCTTCCGTCCACTGTCGAAACGCTATGTGGAAAAGTGTGAGCAACATCTGTCATCTTCGCAGCTGAGAAGCACGTTAGGACCACATCACAGCTACTGTCACGATAACCGCTTTCAAGTCTGTAGGCGGGGAATGACAGTGACAGCGCTCTGACTGACTTACTTTAGATCTCAGCATAGATAAGTCTCCGTCTCTGCTCACTGTCAGCGCTGTTTGGACCGGAGGAGAGCGAGTACCGTGCCATCAGTTTCCGCGCAATGAGTGCTATCCATCACTGGGTGCTGAATCAGGGAGCGGCACTATAACACTGTGTGTCCCAGCTTTGCTGTAATTGCTCATACCAGCTCATAAAAGTAGCTCTATAAATCTGTTTTCAGGAAATCAATTCACGGAAAGTAGTCGGATTTTCTTCTGTGCAGAGAGAATCCAAACAAATGCGCCTGTTACGCAGTGTGCCAAGAATTTGGCGTCCAATGCGTTCAATCCTGTGAGTGTGTTCTGTTTTAAAATTCAAAGTAGTAGTTTTCCATGACTGGCAGCTGGACAGTGTAATAAGTGTAATATGTAAGGTTGCCGAAATAACAGGAGGAGATGCAGGGCACGTCTGAGCATTTGCCTCTTTATTTGGCACCTAAAGCGACTCGCTCTCTCGCTCTCTC